GGGGGGCGATGCCACGGGGAGCGATGGCGCGTTCACCCGCGCGCAAGCTGCCCGCGGAAGTAGGTGCATCGGCGCCGTCTTTTTCACGCAGTCTGCCGCGTCTTATTCATGATCTGGTGCAGGAGCAGGTGGAGGAGGAGGGGGAGGAGGGCGAGGGGGAGATAGGGGAGGAGGAGGAGGAGGAGGAGGAGGAGGAGGAGGAGGAGGAGGAGGAGGAGGAGGAGGAGGAGGAGCAGCAGGACGAGGAGGCGGAGGAGGACGAACAGGAGGAGGAGGAGGACCAGGATGGCCAGGAGGACGAGGAGGACGATGGGGAGGGGGATGCAAGGGTGGCGCTGCTTGAGAAGGTGCACGAGCAGGTGCTTGTTGCGGAGGACGGAAGAGGAGGAGGTGGTGGACGTCAAGGAGGATACGGGCGTGGAGGTGGATGTCCTCCCCGCGGCCTCCGGGCGTGACCCGCGGTTCCCCGCCGGGATACTGCAGCGGGGAATCCCCATTCCACGCTGCTGCCTTTGATTTTGAATTTTCCCCCTGTAGAGGGACAGGCCCGACTTAACCCTACTCCTGAAATGAGCGAGCCAAATCTCAGGGACGTGCCCTCAGAAACTGAGGGCACATCCTTGAAGTCGGCATCGAGGTGAGGTGATGCCAAACACAGGGACAGGGATACGCTTCGAACTGATAAATCAGCGCGAACTGGAGGGCCACGCGGACTTCCTGGATCGGCGCCGCAAGGGAGGGGGGTCCAGCGCCGATCGAAGAGATCCGCGCGGAGCTCCCGAAGCTGATGCCCGTGCAGAGTTTCTTCTAGCCCCCCCTCGGGCGGTTCGCGAGACATATCCATCGCCCCTGGTCAGGCCCATCCTGGGCCTCTAAAGCGGTGTTTGACCCCCCCGGCTTGGCAAGGGGGGTGCAAATAAAACGACAACAGCAATCCAGGAACTCCCACATTTGAATTAATTTCCCGAGTTCCCCTCTCCCCCTCCACCTCCCATATTCTCTATAACGAGGGATACTTATGCCGACCCCTGTCCCACGCGCTGGCAGGTTTTCGAATGGACCAGAAATTTGGGGCACAACCCTGGGATATAGCGGTGCGTCCGAAGAGCCCTCTTGGGGTGTACCCCAGGCTTTCCCTTTTTTGTCTGAGCGGCCAGACTCTTCGGGCGGAACCCGGGGATTTGGGGGGGGGAAACCTCTTCTGCGATTTCCCTCTACGACGCTCATGAAAAAAAGAAGAGAAAAAAGCAAAAGTTAAAAAAAAAAGAAAAAAAAAAAAAAAAAAAAAACAAATAAAAACAAAAAAGAAAATGAAAAAAAAAAAAAAAACTACGACGCTCATGAAAGTCAGCGCTGGTTCGTGCTTGTGCCCACGGCTTCCTCCCGGACGTGCGCGGTGCTCGCCGCCAGGAGCCGGGCAGGCGGCCGAGCCCCGCGCCCTCCCCTCCGCGCAGGGCGCGATCGCCCGACAGCCCTCACCCGGCGCGCGATCGCGCAGGGCGCGACCGCGGCACCTCGCGTTCGCCGACGGCGTACAGCCAACCCGTGCCAAGAGGACACGCGGTAAGGATGCTAGGGACTTGGAGGGCCATGGTAACGTTTTTCGAATGAGGCTGGCGAGCGAAAGTCGCTCAGTGACGGGCCGAAGGGGCAAGGATGCAGGGGTAGCCTTGGAAAGTGTTTCGTCGTTACTGTGCGGGTCGACTGTAACCTCTCGCACCGCGCCCCGCGATGCGCGACGCGGCCGCGGTGGTTAGCGTGTCGCGCCAAAGCACAGTGGGCCAAAACAATCTGGCGCAACACGCTGAGCACGGGTTCCTCTCCTTCTCCACACGGGTTCCCTTTCCTTATCCTTATCCCTAGAGTTTTACGTCAAATATCAAAAAATGGGAAGACAGGAAAAAATATATGTTTGACTAATTTTGAATATTCCCCCTGTAGATAGACAGGCCCGATTTGAATCATAATTCGGTACACCCATCGTGCTGCCACACGCGACGCTGGTTGAGGAGGAACCGAGTGCCTTCTCTGGCCGCGGCGGGCATCGGCCACAAACAAAGCTCACCGAGCCAGGCCTGAGCACCAGCCTGAAAACCGGAGCCCGTCCCGAATCCAAAACTGACTGCGTGATAGTTTTCAACAAAAACGCACGCACAACTGCCCATGTTGGATATACTCAGGCAACTCTTCACCGCTGCATCCTTGCTTATGAACCGCGTCCACGTCGCACACTGAAAATAGGGGCGCGCTTGGACGGGGCCTGCCACTCCCTGCCAGAGCCGTGCCCCGACCTGAGACCGCCGCGATCGCCGCGAAGACCTCCCAGACCGACCCTTGCCATCGCTCGAACGTCCATTTCCCGTGCACGTGTCCGTTTCGCGCGTGATTTTTTTGCGACATATTCCAGAATGCTCTTTGACGGTCCTCGCCGAGAAAAAAATGCGCACGTCCGAGCGATGCCCAGGACCCAGAGGCTTGGCTCGCGCGGGCGGAAGACATGTCCGCCTCCGCGGCCTCGCGGGCCAAGCCCCTGGGCCGCGACCCCGTGGATACGGGGCGTTTGTCCGCGAATGCCCTGCGCGGGAACGTGTCCGTGCGACCGCGCGTCCGCGGGATCGCGCCCAGGAATCTCCAGACGGCGAGGGCACGGATACGGCTACGCCCGCCGCTCGTGCAGCGCGGGGCCGGATGTCACGCTTGCCTCCCAAAATACCCAGGCCCCTCCTGAGCCCAAATCGATCCTTACCTAATTAGCCCCCGACGTCATGATTCGTTCCTGGCGTCGACCCCCAGAGATCTGGACCCGTTGCCCCGGGACCGGCTTTGCACCCCGACCTGTTTTTCAACGGTCCCGAGGCCCGTCGAAGGCCTCCAGAGGCCGAAAAAAATCGGGAAGAACCTCCCGTCGTGATTATTCTTCACTGCGGAAACCAGAGAAAGTACCGATACCGCTACCTTCCCGGACCTCTCGCTGGGTGCGTTCTGACCAGGGTTTCAAGGCGAATCCAGCGGTGGCGACGAGGGCCTGCCAGGAGGGGCCCGCGCCGATCGGCAAAGCAATGAATGAAAAACGCCCACTAGAAGGAGGCTGTTTCTGAGGAAGCGGTGTCCCTACATCTACAGACAAGGCCCGCGCCGTCTAAAAAGCAGGGTTGCACTCTAAGAAGGCGCTCTCCCTCCCACATACCCCACGTGCGCGTGGCCAATCGGTGGTAATTCACGGGAGCCTCCCATACCATCGTGGTGGACCTCGCGAACCGACGCGAATCGACGCCAAATCGACGCGAGTCGACGCTAGATCTGCGCTTTCCCACAGATGCCAGACGCGACTCGACGCTGCTAGTGCACTCTGAAAACGGACTTGCGAGGGCATACAAGACTAAGGTCGGTTTAAGACTTGGGAAGATGGTATGAAAAACAAAAAAACAAATTGTTCAAACATGGTTTAATATAAAAAACAGCACCATGTGTTGCTATGTTTGCATACTCCTCCAGTAGAAGGGGCATGCCCGACTTAATGGTTACGCCCACGGCTTGCTACCGAAGAACGACGGCCCCAGTGGTGGCGTCGCCATCCTTGAGGCTCTGGCTGGCGGCTCCTCGTCGCCACGGCTGGGTCCGCGTCGAAGACCAGGCCCGGATGGACTGCGGAGTGGATCTGGAGATCCATCACAGCCGGCCCGTATCACAAGGATGCGCGATAAGGTTAGGTCGGGCCTGTCCCCCTACAGGGGGGCTTTCGACGAAAACATAAAAATCCTTTAAACATACTGCACAATGATGCATAAATACTCAAAAAACCGGTCCCCATACTATTGTTCTACTATTGTTGAATTTCCCTTCTGTAGAGGGACAAGCCCGACTTAACGACAAGGGTGCAAGGGCCTCGGGCGCCCATGTCGTAGCTTTTCGAGCGGAGCACGGCCAACGAAAGTGGCCAAGCATGGACCGAGGAGGCAAGGATGCCAGGGCAGCCCTGAGAAGGATGCCCTTCCTTGTTATGCGGGCTGACTGGTTGAGCGGATTTGGACTCGGGGCGGGAGAGCCGCCGTTGTCTGTCTCAACTGGCCCTCCTCCGAACCGCGCCGGGGGGGCACCAGTTCAGGGGGGAAAACCTGAGCCTGGAATCGGTAATACGTCCCCGACAGATCAGCGATGTCCCCCGACTGCGCCACCGTGCGCTCCTGGGCGGGGCGAACTATCACGACCATATTGCGATGAATGCGAGATCGGAGGTCGAAACACCCCTGCATGCTTTGCCCCCGAAGGCCCCCAAAAGGCCTTCAGAGGCCCCCGGAGGCCCAGAGAGGCACTTTTTTGGTCGCAGCGACGCGGATCCACGCCACGGTCGAAGGCAACCGAGGGACACTACAGGGCCGAATTGGGCACGGGCGCGAGGGGAGGGGGCCGGCCCAATGAAGAACAGGGGTTCCCAAAAGCCTTGGTCCTCGAGCTCCGAACTCCGAGGCTCGGAGACTCTGGGTGCGCGCGCCCGAGCAAAAGCCCAGGCGGCGCCGGCAGCAGCAGCAGCAGCATCGTGCCATCTGCAGCATCGGCGCTCCCTCCGCCCGCCTTCCTGTCCATCCCGCCTTCCAAGACGTCTCGCTCGAACACCCGATGCCTCCAATCTGGCGGACACCCTCCGGGGGCCCTCCGCGGAAAGCATGGGGGGGCCGCCCGGCTGCTCCCTGGACCTCTCCTGGGGTGCGACCTGACCAGGAGCTCGAAGAGGAATCAGCAATGGCGGGGAGGGCGCCCCGTAGAGAAAGCATAAACTGCAGAAACATAAACGTTCGCAGGAAAGCGCAGGATTCGTGGATCAGCGCTGGACCCCCCTCGTCCCCCCACCCTGGCGCGCGGAGCGCGCCGGGAGCGGCGCCAGAGGCGCCGCCAGGGGGCCCCAGCGCCGATCCAAAAAAATCCGCGCGGAATTCCCAACGATGATGTTTGAGCCGTCTTCCCTTCTCCGACTCCAGGACGAGCAGCGGGATCGACCTCGCCTCCTCTCCCTCCGCAGGTCGCGCGCCCGGGCCCGCGACGAGGCCAGCTCCGAGGTCACCTGCTCCGCCGTCTGCTGGACGCGCAGGGGCACGCCTGGCAGGCGGCCAAGCCCAAGGCCGCCGCCACGTCGCCGCCCCCACCGCCGTCGGCGTCGCCCGTCGTCTGTGACGGCCCCACGGCGTGGCGCCCTGCCGCCACGGGCTGGACATCGCCGCTCGGCCCTAGAGGCAGGTCTTGGCACGCCCCCCCCCCAAAAAAAAAACAGCGGTGGCCAAAATATAAGTACGTTGTCCTGCAGCACAGGCTGTCCGCCACGGACAGCGGCCGCGCTTGAGAAGGCGACGTGATGGCTCAAAAGGACAGCCAGCGCCCACGGCGACGCCGGCAGCGACTCGGCGTTGGGCAGGAACTGCTGCCGGTCTTCGTCCCCGTTCTTTCCGCAGTTCCGATCGTACCGAAGGTCAGCGGCTCGAGAACTGCGGGGGCGAGTCGGGAGGCAGATGCGGTCGCAGCCAGACCGATCGGGTCGGACGAATGGGGGGTCAGAAAGGGGAGGGGGGTTCATCCGCTCATGCAGCTGGTTTCTCAGGCACCCCCCGGCGCCAGAGGCGCACATTTTACTGTCGAGGAATGCGCCCAACGGTGGGACGAAATCAACTGCATGCAGCAATCGCCGTACCCCCCCCTTCCGAATGTCCCCCGTAAGGCGCCAGCATGTTCGGTTTCTGTGTTTGGTTCTCTCAGAAGCCACCTCGAGACGTACGGATTATCAGTTGATTCAGGTAAGTCTAAGTCACAGCGCAGCGCTGTACTGATCTCCAAACCCGCTCATCTTGGACTCAACCGAGGAACGTGCCAACAGAGGAACTGCATACTGTACTGTGCACAAGCAAGTCCCCCAACGGATTCGTGTACGTCGTCGCGGACTGCATGTGGGATGGTTGCTGGCGGGTGGTGTCACGTTAGTCTGGAGCGACTCTCAGAGATTAGGACCCCGCTTTCGCTGCGGTACTGTCTGTCATCTCTCGCCCAACAGCATCCAAGAACTGCACGGGCCTGGCACCATGGCAACCCCTGGCGGGCAGCACCGTGGTGGGCATCCCGGCGGGCGCTGCAGCGGCACGCCCGCGAGGCGGCGAGGTGGAGCGGTGCAGTGCGCATCGTGCTGAGCAACAGGCGCACCAAAGACGCGCGCGATCTATAAGAGCCACGAGCAACTCTCTGGACGTTCAGGCTGACATGGAGAAAGGGGGCTATTGAGCCAACTCCACTCTTACATACATTGACCGCTTCTTCTCCTGACTGCCTGTCTGGATTCTCAGGCGATGCGCATCGGGGGGGGAGTTAGCCGACGCCCCGAGATTTTGGGTGCCCAGGGCCTTTCGGATAACGCACGCCTGCGCCCACATCAAAGCGAGACCCCCACGCCCGTCGGGTGACCAGCCCCAGCCCATCCCGAAACATCGGAGGTTGGGGGGTGAGATCGAAGTGGAACGGAGAGCCCCCCACCGGGAAATCGGTTTCGGTTTCGTGTTCGTGCGTGCCGCGCGTGCGGGCGAGGCGAAGATGCGTGGGCGGGCGAGAAGAAAGTCTCCTGTGGCTGAGGCGCGGCCGGACCAAATGATTCCCCCCCCGGCAAGCGGGGCCGCGCGGTGTCCCGCCGGTGTCCCGCCGGTGTCCCGCTGGTGTCCCGGTAAGTCTCCTGCGGCTGAGGCGCGGCTGGACCATATGTTTCCCGACCGGCAAACGGGGCCGCGCGGTGTCCCACCTGTGTCCCGCCGGTGTCCCGCTGGTGTCCCGGTGTCGCACTGGTGCGAAAACGATAGTGAGACCGATAGTGAGATCGATTGTGAGATCGATTGTGAAATCGATAGTGAGGTCGATCGAATGAGATCGATGGTGAGATCGATTGTGGGATCGATAGTGAGAGCGATAGTGGGATCTATGGTGAGATCGATTGAGTAAGATCGATAGTGAGATCGATCGAGTGAGATCGATAGAGAGATCGATAGTGAGATCGATAGTGAGATCGATTGAGTGATATCGATAGTGAGATCGATAGTGAGATCGATGGAGTTATATCGATAGTGAAATCGATAGTGGGATCGAAAACGAGATCGAGAGTGAGATCGACAGTGAAATCGATCGAGTGAGACCGATAGTGAGATCGATCGAGTGAGATCGATAGTGATGTCGATAGTGAGATCCATCGTGGGATCGATAGTGAGACCGATAGTGAGATGCAAATCGACATGCAGATCGAAATGCAGATCGTAAAACAGATCGGCATGCATATCGATAAGCAAATGCACATGCAAATCGTCAGGCACATCGACATCCCGTGCTGTATGCTGTCCCAAGAGCGAGCGGCATCGCAACAATCTCTGAACAATCTCGGAAACAATCTCCACTGGCGTCGTCCGAACAACAATCACCACTGTTGCCCATTGCTGGCCCCCTCCCCCCCCAAACCTCCTTATTTCCCGCAAGGTGGTCGTATGAGTATATTTGAATCCGACGAATATCGGAACATTTTGAACGAGGCTGTCGCTGCGGCACCGTTCGAGCACCTGTCGCCTGTCCCGGCCCTTGACTGGGGGCTCATGAGAACAAATTCAACTCCCAACCACTGAGAACCAATACATGAGGAGGGTCAGCTTGTGCTTCCCGAGTAGCCTCGGAAATCGGGGTCAACATCTTCACGGTCGTGGGACCGTGGTTGCGTGTGTGTGTGTGTGTGTGTGAAAGTGCCTCACCCAACACTTGCCATTCCGAGCCCTGATGCTGGTCAGAAGAGCCCTTCCAGGAACGGTAGGAGCGGACGAGACGAGGGGGAGGGAGGCACCAGCTATGGAATCACGCACGCTAGAATCTCGGAACTGGGAGAAACGGGTGATCACGCCTCATGTACCCGAGTTTCAGGGAAACGAGTACGTCGCCTGAAAGTGAGGATGATAGAGATGAGGCACGTCACGGATGTCACATGGCGCTTGATGCGATTCCTGGGGGGCAATGGTGGTACCGGCTCCCGATAGATGGCCAAGGGGCTTCATCTTGCGCACGGAGTGGCATCTTGCGTAAGCCTCGCAAGGGCGGTGTTGACTTTGGACTGCGCGGACTCGAAGAAACGCTGCAGGCTGGCACGAGTTTATCCCCCATGCGCATGCACACTGATGGCTTGCTGCTCAGGACTGCCAGCAAGAGGGCGGACCGCTGGCTGCTGCCACGAGGCGCCACCTCCGATGGCGATGGCAGGCACACCGCTCGGCAGACCAGCGAGCTCAGCCTGACCTCCACGGGGACCGCCTGATCCGCTCGACGCTCCGCCACCTGCCGAAGGGTGCCCAGCCGTAGGTCCGTCAAGGGCCGAGAGCTTGTTGGCGGGCTCACCGTCTGCTGCAGGAAGGACCGGCGCCAGGACCAGCAGCACCACCGAGAGGGGTCTGAACCTGAGAGTTGAGGGTGAGCATCGCATCGAGCTCAGCCGCCAAAGAGCCTCATCGAAGCCAGCTGCACCCATCTGCTGATGGGGAGGGACATCGCCATGGCCACTCAGCATCAGCTGGCCACCTGGCAGCCACACCCGACGAGAAGACTGAGCGATGCCGCAAGGGAGAGCCTGCCGGGTCGCACGGAGCTCGGCCAGCAGGAGGGCGAGAGCGCGAAAGCCTGGCCTCGTCGGCCGTGGGAGTGGCCACGGAGGGGCCAAAGCTAACTGCTGATTCTCCCGCGTGGACAGCCCTTCACAACGCTTAGCCTTGAGCCAACATGGCTTGAGCCAACATGGCTACGGGCCCGCCTCCTCCTCCTCCTCCTTCTCCTCCTCCGCCTCCCTCCTGGTCTCAGGAAACCTCAGGAGGCCTCAGGAATCTCCAGAAGCCCCAGGGGGGCCCCAGGAATCCCCAGGAGGCCCGAAGAGAACCCAGGAGTCATCGAAGTCCCGAATGGCCCTCGCAGGCCCTAGGAGGCGCAAAAAGGTCCCAGGAGGTCCCAGGAGACTGCAGGCCACTCATGCTAAGACGCACTCGCATTCAGACACATTACAATCAGACATCATTCATACTCGCACTAATACACAACCCAGACGCGTTCACACTTGAACGTCATTCAAACTCTGACCAACTCATACCCACAACTACTCCATCTCGGACCCACTCATACCCATACCCGGTGATAACCATACCCACTACGATTCAGATAACCTGACTCGGACCGACGCATACTCATAACCCAATGTACGTGTGTATCTATATATATAAACAGATACCTACATATATATGTATATATATGTATATACATATATATATATACACGTGTGCGTATATGGACCATCACCCTCAGACTAACTGGGGTTCGGACTCACCCAAGATCTGCCATTCATCCTGAGCCTCACTCAGATTCTGACTCGGTCGTACTCTGACGATCGTCAATGGAACACACTAGGACAGATATGCGATAACTGGAATTTCTGCGACGAACGTATGCTGTATCACGGCCAGGTGTCGCAAAGGGCTCAGTGTCAGCGCGCAGCCAATTGCCCATCGTATATCCAGGACTTAGGGCAATGCGCGACTCTGGCCGAGAGCGCTTGTGACTCAATGTGGGCATCGGCTCGACAAAAAGAAAAGTATGGAAGTGGCTCAACATACGGCAAATCGAATCAACAAATCGGCAGCCCATGGCTCTGGCGTAGACTCCGTGACCTCTAGGGCAATATGTAGAAAGTGCTGAGCCGGCCAGGCCATGACGCACTGGCGCCAAAAAACCAAGCTCAACCCAAGGCGGAGGCGCTGCGAATTTCATCAGGACACCCGCAGCTCTCAGCCTGGTGTTACATAACCTCCCACCCCCGCCACCCTCCACCATCCTTACGTCGGGGGTGCCCCCTACAGGCGGATTTTGGACGAAACATTGAAATCAGTCAAAACATATGATTCAAAGAATCCCCAAAAAATATAATAAAAAATCGTCCCCTGACTATTCTTAAACTGTGTTTGGATGTTCTTCCCAGTGGAGGGACAGGCCCGACTTAACACCCTCCTCCAACCGCCGTGTCCCGCTGGCGCCAGGCTCAGGAGGAGAGCCCGTCCAGGGAGGGCGTGCGGCAGCGCGCCCGCACCTTCTCGCGGTGCCGCACCCGCTTGGCGTGGCTGGGGCGCTTGGGCCTGGTGTGCCCCGGCAGGTGGCAGAAGGCGCACATCTCGGCCGTGTCACGGCAGGCCCCGCGGAGCGCGAAGGTCGGCGGCGACGACGGGGGCGAAGAGCCCAGGGGGCGGGCACTGCACGCATTCGCCCGGGAGCCTTGTCGAAGGCACAGATCATCGGCACCCCTGGATTCTACAGGTACTGCTCCCCCCCTGGGCTACTCGCCCCCATCGTCGCCTCCGAGAAGACGCAGACGCGGCACGTCCCGGCGGCATGCGCGGCCACGCCCTTGAGGGGCGCGCAGAGCATCGGCGGCGGCACCGTCATGACGCCGTCGATGGCGCGCTGGGCGAGCGCGGCCAGCATGGGGACGTCCCTCAGGAGGCCGAGGAGCCGGCGGTACGCAGACCTCGTGCCGTAGCTCCAGGTCGCCGCCTCCGCCTCGAAGGTCTGGACGCGGGGGCCCAGCAGCTCCACCAGAGGGCCGCCGCGGACGGCCTCGGGGTCCGGGATGCAGTCCTTGGCGAGGGCGAGCGGCGCGCTCTCTGGAGGGTTCCCCAGCGCAGCCACGAGGCGGGCGGCTGCGCTGGCGGGCTCGGGGAGGCCGATGAACTCCGCAAACTCCTCGCACGCCGCGGCGACCTCCCGGGGATTGAGCGAGGCGAAGCGATCCACATCGAAGAGCTTGACTTGGCCTGGCCACTTCATCGCCTCCCGAGCCCACGCCACGGAGTGGCTGAACGGATCCATGTGAAACGTGGTCTCTCGCTGCACGATCATGTCGATGAACTCGGAGAAGGCACGCCCGCCCTGCGGCAGCGGCTGGGCAATACCCATGGCGTTCATGGCCTCCCACGTGACCGACAGCGCGTACCGCGGGTCTGAAACCAACACCGCGACCTTTGGCGCGCTGCCCTCCCGCACCTCCTTCTCAGTGGGGGGCCACCTCAGAGGCCCCACGAGTGGAATCTGTTGAGCTGGGGTCGGAGGATCGCGCCGCATCGCCGATGCATGGGCGATACGTCGGCGATGCTTCGGCGACGTCGGCAATGCATCGGCGCTGTTAGCGTGGATCAATTCGGGATCCACATCGGGCCGCACCACCGATGCATCAGCGATGCGATGTGATCCACCGAAGCCGTCTACTCGGACCGCACTTGGGAGGCCTGGACACCTGAAAGGCACCTCGTGGGGCAGCCGGTGCGTCTTGAACAGCCGCCGACCGGGCCAGCTCGCCAGGAAGTCGGAGTACCCCTCCGCGCCCCGCCTCGAGGCGCCCGCCTCCAGCAAGTGCGGCTTGTCGATGAGCCCCTCCGCGTAGGGCTCCTCCCTACCCTCCACGAGCGAAACCAGCAGGCGCTGGAGCCCTCGGATGAAGAACCCGCTCGCCACGACCACGTCGCCCCTCCGGGGGGCCCACCCGCTGCTCCGGAACTTCTCGATCTCCAGGTCGTTCAGTAAGCCACACCTCCGCGGCAGCACGGCCCTCGTGCTGTGCCTCGGCTCGGCGGCGCGCTCGCCCACGACCCCGCCGCCGCCAGCCTCGCCCCAGGGCTCCGTGGGTCCGGGCGGGCTCCGCGGGCTCGCCGCGGCGGGCCCCGCGGCGCCCTCGACGGCGGCCCGCGGCGAGCCCGCTGCGGGCGCGGCGGGCGCCGCGGGCGCCGCGGGCGCAGCGGGCGCAGAGCCCGCCTCTGGGGCCGCCCCGCCGCTGCCGCCCGCCGGCTCCTCTGGCCAGTGCCCGCTGGGCGCCGCCTTCGGATCCGGGAGGTGCCCGCTCGGCATCCGGGCTGGGGCGTTCCCTGGGCGGCCCTTCTGCGCAGGCGGCCCGGACCAAAATGGCTCGAGCCAGGAGGCGCGGTTCCCACGAGGGAGTGGAGGCCCAGGCTTCCTCGAGTCGTGGAAACAGAAACCTACGGAAAACGTTGCAGTCGGGCTGCTGGAACCCAGGATAAGCTAGGAGAGAAGCCCCTTGTTGGACCCAGCGTGCACCGAAGAGGGATAGAGGTGCAGCCGTGGTAAAACCTAAGCAACATCGAGCCCCTGTCAAACTGGTCATTATCTCAGCGTCTTGACTGTAGGCCTTTTTCGGCCTCTAGGGCCCACTGTCGCCAAAAAGCGGTTCACGCTGTCCAGCGCCCAAATGTTCTCGATGCGTGGACCACTGGAGATCTGGACACCTTCCCTGTGGCAACATCTTCGCCCTGACTCACTGGTTGACGCTTCCAGGGCGCGTTGATGATTCCCGAAGGCCACACACACACACATATATATATATATACATATACATATACATATACATATACATATACATATACATATACATATACATAAACATATACATATACATATACATATACATGTACATACATTCATTCATTCATTCATTCATACATACATACATATATACATACAGAGAGAAAGAGGGTGCGTGTGTGCGTACGCGCGCGAATGTAGGTATGTGTAGATGTAGTTGTGGCCAGGTACACATGTGTGTATGCATGTACAAAAAAGTATGGGTAGATATATGCATATATGCACATATGTATGTATGTGAATGTGTAGGTGGATATGCACATGTTCAATGCATGCACATGTGTATGTGCACATGTATGTGTATGTGTACATGTATAATTATATCGTTCGTAATCAAGACGCCCCCCACAGCACTGACGCGAGGCGGCAGCATCCGCGGCACAGCAGATATCGTGTACTGCGTGCGACGGGACGCGCACTAACTGCAAGGGGGGAACATTCAGGCGGCACACAACTGCGCGATATTCCCCCTAGCGCCTGGCGGGCGGAGACGCAAGGGCCAAGACCCGCCGACCATGGCCAGGAGAATACCAACGCAGCGAAATAAGAGCGCAAGAAAGTTTAAACGGAGCTCTGGATCTGTCCACGAGGGCTTGAGCTGCGCGCCGTACATTGTGCACGTGCTGAGCGTGGCCCTGGGATCCCGCAGGCCACGGCTGGACACGGACAACGTTGTACAAGTGGTACGTCAGCACTATACGATCAACATCCTCTGGAGACGGCCCGTCGCCTAAGCCTATCCGACTCGCCGCGAGCCCTGGAATCGGTACCTAAGGGTGATATACAATGCTCCACAATACAAGACACCGAATGTAGTGGGAAAGTTGGCCCGTGGCGTGCGAAGGCAGGCGGCAAGCATCACATTTGAACCAGCGATTCCTGGGGCCGCCCTGCGTACTAAGCCTGCTGCTGGTGATCCACCCCCCGCACATTGTCTTCATCACGGCGGATTGCCAGCTTGGCGGGGCTCCTGAGGCTAAAAGGTCTCGGACGTCAGTCCCGGCTGCACGGAGCGCAGCACGAGCATCACGCGTAGCGTCCGTCAGCTTCGAGATGCCGAGGTCATTGCCGTCGATGAAGTCGTTGGCAGCGCGGTGCAGGCGCAGGGCGATCGGGATGGTGTGCCAGAACCACGGACTGCGCCAGCACTTGCCGATCGCGGCGAGGGTGCCGTGGTCCTTGGACATTTGCTCGAGGAGCACGAACAATTCACGCCAATTGGAAACAGTGTCCTCAGCCGCTCGCATCATCGAGGCTGCCGAGTAGACATTGACTGAGAACATGTTCAGCGTCGGCCAGGGCGGCAGGTGCCACAGCTTGGTCATGGCCCATATATCGCGGCACCTGATCGCACGCGGGACGGGGGATAGCTGCGCCTGGCATCAGAGGGTGGGCAAGACTCGCGCGATTTTCAGATGCGCGGCGATGTGGAAAGCTCCGCCGACGGCACCAAGCTCACGCACGCGATGTAGCTATATGCCGCCAGCGGACTTCCAGGCGTCATTGAGTGTTACGGCAGGCCCCATCTGCGTGCCGAAGTATACCCCTCAGCCAGCCACTCCCACCGCTTGCCAAGACGTCACATGAGCAGCTAATCAAGTCTTAATATCTTGAGCAACCTCGGCACTGAAGGGGGCCCCGATTTGTGCTAGACCACATTTGGGCATCTTGAAACAAAGTCATGCAGGAGCGTCAGCGGTGCGGAAGACACGCCAGAGACGCATGAGCATCCGCCTGCCGTCGATGATGGAGCCGACGTCATCCGCGAATGCCCCGAGCGCGCAGAGCTCGGACACGCCGACGACGACCTCAAGATGCTTCACGAACGGGTCCATGCCAATAGCCCACAGCGAGCCTGAGAGCGGACAGCCCTGGGCGATTCCCGAGGCAGCGGAGACGAAGAGCCGAAGCACCCCAGCCTCCATGACACACGCCGCCAGGACGAAGGAGAAGGCAAGGACTAGCTCCAGAAGGGCACCCTTCATACCCGCGTGCACCATGGCGAGCTCCAGCCAGTCGCGGGCCAGGGATGGGAACCATCGCCGAAGCCGAAGAGGGCCAGGGCACGGCTGCTCAGCCCCCCCGACGTCTTGGAAGCGCGACCCCACGTGTCGAGGGGGGTGATGTCGTCGAGGAAGTCGCGCCCAGCGAGGAAGCCTCTCTGCGAGGCAGGGCACCTGAGGGAGAGCCCATGCTTGATCGCGCGGTTCACTGCGGCCACAGCGATCTCGTTATCTGCGCTCTCCAGAGCCAGGGCACGGGCGCGGGCGGCCTCGCGATATGCTCCGCACGCGAGGTCGCCATCCTCTTCGCCCTTGGGTGCGAAGACGACGTGATCTTCCCAGTCATACTGCGGCGGGCGGCCCATGGAGATGAAGCGGGGCACCTCGGCGAGGTCTCCGAGAGCACGAAGTGGTTTCGCCCAGGCCGAGTACGGCGCGCAATCAGGACCGGCAGCCGCGGGTCTCGCAGCCCGAGCAGCACTTTCCAGCTGCCGCGCGCCAGGCGATAAGAAGCCGGGGAAACCCATGGAGACGTTATACTTATCTAGATACTCCAGAGCAACTTCGGACGGAATGACGGGACCAGCGGGCGTGCAAGGCGGCTAAAACATCTTCACGCCCATCCACCGAGCGAAGCCCGAGCTCGTCGAAGCATGTAGCTTCAGCATCTTCTTGAACGGGGACCACAAAGCCGCCCGTCGACGGAGGGAACGACGCATGCCGTTGAACTGCCCGATGTGCCGACAGGGGGCCTGCGATTCTGCGCGTCGTCGAGGTGCGCCGAGCGCTGCTCAGAGAAGGCGTTCTGTGCCAGCTGGAAGTCCGCCTCGAACTCAGCGGCGCCGACGAGGGAAATCCTGCGGCCTGTGGGCGAGATGCGCCGCAATGCGAACGGACATGATTATCTCAGCTTCTTCGCCAGCACGTGGTCGCCCCCCCTGCAGCACGAAAGATAGAGCGAGAAACAATCAATGGTGCCTCCACCGAGGTGCCCCCAATCTCGACGAGACGGCTGCGGACATGACGAGCAGCATCATCGACGAGTCGTTCATGCGCAGTTCGGCGTTGACATGCAAAGAGACCAGACCACTCCACCACCGCAATGCATTTGTCCTAGAGCGCGACGAACTCAGGGTCGTCGAATAAGAAGGGCCGGAGCGAACGCTGGTCGTCGTGGGAGGCCTGCCTCGGACGCGCAGCAACGACGACAGGGGCATGGTCCGCGATCCCTTGCTTGTGTAGGTGTTCGGGGAAAAGCCCGGCGGCAGCGTCAAAGTGCTATTGGAGCGTGACCCACGGCGGCGCCCCCATGAAGACGCGGTCGATGCGGGTCAGGCGAGAACTTGGTCAAGCGACGCGACGCGGGTCGGTGGCCCGCCATCGACCTCAGCGAACCTCGCGAAGATGTCATCCCATTGAGGTTGCATTGGCCTAGGTGTGACATCAGCGGCAATGGGGTCGATGAGCTCCAGCGCATGGAGGCGTTGCGGCGGGCTCTTGCACGGGTTGAAGTCGCCCGGCAGAATAGTCTCGACGCGATCGGGAGCAAGCGCAGCCATTGCGAGAACACGAGATACGGCCGAGCCAATCTTCTCCAAGTCACCAGGCGCGAGGCCACAGTTGTGGACGTCGCAGTAAATGGCGCTATTGCTCGGCTCGCTAGCGACCGACGGGATGGCCGACACTCGAAGGAGGGACACACAGCCTGCAAGGATAGTCTCGAGGACAAAGCGCGCACATTCGCCAGCCTCATGAGAGCAAGGTATGGTGATCGCACCACCCCCTGTATCACGTCGATCGGTGAAGGAGGCGAAAGCCTTGTGTGGGATGCGGAGGCGGTGTAGTTCATGTCGCAGCTGGATCTCATTCACATGCCCTTCTTGAACAGCCACAGTAGTTCTTCTGAGATTTTGAGCGAGGAACTGCATCTTGCTGTAGATGACGAGGTGACCATCGACCGGTGGACTTGGTCAGAGGATCCGCACGCGGTGTCGAAGTCGGCCTTGATATCTGCTGTTGGTACCCTATTGACAGAAACAACACGGTAGTTCGACTCCGGCGCCGTCGGCTCCTCAGACTCATCACCCAAGACGAGACGCACGCGCGGGACAGCCGCGAGAGTGATGACACCCTGGTAGCAGCTGGCACGAACTACCCCCTGTCATTTGTCAGCGATGATGGCGGCCAGCTTGTTGTCTGGACCTCGCGCCGTATTTGTTGAAGGTTCTTATCCAGACCAAGAAAGGAAGGAGTGCGACCGCCAGCGACCATGGAACATTCGAACTTGCGCCAGCTGCCGTCTTGATACTTGAGATGTCGAGAGGCATGGACCACGTGACGGGCAGCCATGGCTTCTGAGCCTTTGAATTGGACAGCAAAGTGTCGGTCTGGCGACGCTCCTTCGACCTTCCACTGTTCATCTTCGAAGCCAGCAGCAGATAGCAAACTTTTGGAACGGCTAGTGACTTCCTCGCTCGTGACCATTTCTTTGGGATACTTTTCTGGGCAGGGCGTGTGTAGTCGACCGGGTCCGAGATATCGAAAGCCTGCGGCGCCCTGTTCTCCACGATGCGAGGTTGCTTCCGCATCTGCTTAAGCTGGTGTCGCATATCGCGCTGGTCTCTCTCCACCGCAACGACGGACTGATCCAGGTCACGTAGGTGAAATTCAAGTTCTTGATTCTTCATTTCCTGGCGGGCAGCCATGGCGGAAATAGCTTTGGTGGTGCCCTTCGAGAGGTCAGCAGCCAGGCGCGCCTGGGACAAGTTGACAGATTTGAGAACGTACTTGCGTAGGTCGGCCAAGATGCTCTGGAGCTCGCCACACATGACAGGCTGGTCCATCTGGGAGGGGTCGAAGTAGCTGGATTCGTCAGGAGGCTCTTCCTCCTGTAACTCTGCGTCGTCGCCGGACTCCTTGATGCTAGCGTGCTCGCGCAGAGGAAGAGTAGCAGTTTCTGCCGAGCCCAGCTGCGAGGTGTCCTCCTGCTTGGCCAGCCACGGGTAACGACTGGGAGACTGCATAGGGTCAGCACGATGAGGGCTGCGTGAGGAGAGTCCTTCGCGGCTGTAGGTACGCCCCTCTTCAGCAGGACCCCTCCACCGCCCAGCAGCAGAAGAAGCAGCAGCGCTACGCGGGCTCGGAGGCCTGCGTAGAGATGCCCGCCGATCCCCGTGCGCGTCATCGGAGTGCGGCGGGAGCATGGACCCCGCAGGGAGGAAGCGGATATTGTACGTGAGGGCGAAATAGTGACCGAAGGGCCGCAGTAGCCAGTGTAGTGTTAGTCAGTTGAATCCTGCCTCGGCCTGGAAGCCGTCTGGGGGCAGGGATCGATCGTTCGCTCCCCCAAGTGGGCACTCTGATGCCGCCTTGAGGACATTGATTGCTTGAGCCAAAATGGATTGAGCCCAAATGGCTATGGGTACATGTATAGGTAAATGTAGATGCATATGTAGATGTATGCGTAAATGCATATGTACAATTATATGCATGTGTACGTGTACAAGTATATGAATGTGCATATGCATATGTAAGTATAGATGTAGATGTAAATCTAAATGTATGTGCATATGTATACGCATACTTGTGTATGTATAAGTATATGTGTGTATGCGTGTGTGTGTGTGTCTGTCTGTCAATATGTCTGTCTGCCTGTCTGTCTGTCTCTGTCTCTGTCTGTCTGTCTGTCTGCCTGTCTGCATGTACGTACGTGTATGTGTGTGTGTGTGTGTGTCTGTCTGTCTGTCTGTCTATCTGTCTGTCCGTCTGTCGGTCTGTCTGTCTGTCTGTCTGTCTGTCTGTCCGTCTCTGTCGATATGTGTATGTGATTATGTGTATGCGTATGTGTATGTGTATGTGCATGTGTATGCGTATGTGTATGTGTATGTGTATGTGGATGTGGATGTGTATACGTATGCGTGCGTGTGTATGTGTGTGTGTGTGTCTGTATGTAGGGGGATAGGTTTGTGAAGGTGTGTGTAGGTGTGTGTAGGTGTGTGTAGGTGTGTAGGTGTGTAGGTGTGCGTGTGTGTGTGGGTGTAGGTGCGTGTAGGTGTGCGTGTGTGCGGGTGTGTAGGTGTGTGTAGGTGTGTGTAGATGTATGTAGGTGTGTATAGGTGTGTCTGCGTGTAGGTGTGTGTAGGTGTGGGTATGTGCACGTGCATACTTATGTGTATGTGTATGTGTATATGTGTGCGTATGCGTATGTGTATGCGTGTGTGTATGTGCACGTGTATGTGCACGTGTATGTGCATGTGTATGCGTATGTGCATGCGTATGTGTAGGAAAATATGTGGGTGTGTGTGTGTCTGTGTGTAGGGGGTGGGTGTGTGTAGGTGTGTGTAGGTGTGTGTAGGTGTGTGTAGGTGTGTGCAAGTGTGTACAGGTGTGTGTGTGTGTGTGCTTGTGTGTAGATGTGCGTGTGTGTGTGGGCGTAGGTGTGTAGGCGTGTGTACGTGTGCGTAGGTGTTGTGTGTGGGTGTAGGTGTGTGCAGGTGTGTGCAGGTGTGTGCAGGTGTGTGCAGGTGTGTGCAGGTGTGTACTTGTGTGTAGGCGTGTGTAGGTGTGTACATGCCGCTCCCACTTTTGTTGGAGCTTCGGATCTCCAGGGGGCCCTGGGGAGAGCCACTCTGCACGACAGATGGACCGGGAGGAACCAGGGAGAGCCTGCTAGGCGCGCTGGTGCCGACAGGGCGAGGGCCCGACACCTGCAGCGGGAAGTTCCACGAGGAAGAGGAGGAGGAGGAGGCGGAGGAGGCGGAGGAGGAGGCGGAGGAGGACGGGGGAGGAGGGGGAGGGGGAGGAGGAGGAGGAGGAGAAGGAGGAGGAGGAGGAGGAGGACGAGGAACCCAGGTAAGCGCGACGCGTCGCCCCCCAGTCCCCGACCTGCGCTTGAAACATCAGGCCGCTCAGAACACGGGGGGAACTCGGGAATACCCCCCCCCCGGGGGGCCACTCGGACGCATCCCATATCGAAAGTGGACGCTCGCCCGTCGTAGATTCCCGAGTTTGGCTTCAACTTGTGCTGGCTCCGACGGAAAGCCGACAAAGTCGGGGACCCCCCGCAACGTGTTCAAACACCGCGCCCTCAATACTCAGAAACCGCGCTCTCGCTGGGGTTTTTCCCACGATTCACTTGGGAATCGTGCTATCGCCTGAGACTTCCTCGCGGTCCCTGCAGGACGCACACTTCAGCAACCCTCAAAAATCACGCTCTCGCTGTGTTGTGTTTTCCACGGTTCACTTTGGAATCACGCTATCGCTCGAGACTTCCTCGCGATTCATCCATGACACACGCCTCAGCAATCCGCCTGCTCGACCTGGCCGCCTGGGTCCGCCTTCCCGACCCGCCCGCGAAAGTCTACCCGCCCGATCTGCCCGTTTGGTTCTGCCACGTGTTTTCTGTCCCTAGCCCTTCTCCTGTCAATTGTTCTCCTGCCCCATCCTTCTCCCTCCCCATTCCATCCGTCCTCTCTTCCCCCGTTTTAGGCGGCACGTGAAGAAGATATGCTCCGAGCGGGTTGGGATCGAAGACGAAGAGGGCGGGTACCGAGGGTTTGGGCGGATATACATATTGAACGGCACGAGATCCTAGGAGCGGGCAATCGTGAAATTGATGTTGTTGGTGTTGGATTCTCACTTCTAGCGAAGAAACATTGATGGTTCCCCCCTTCTGGTGACCAGCGCATGTTTCAATGAAAATGTGTTCTCCCAGGGCGCGCACCCTGACATTTTTCCAAAGGGCGGGACGCCGCGCCCTCGACACTCAGGAAGCACGCTCTCGCTGTGGATTCCCTTTTGGTTGATTTGGGGATCGCGTTATCGCTCGAGACTTCCCCGCGATTCATGCATGACGCACGCTTCAGCAACCCGCCTGCTCGACCTGGCCGCCTGGGCCCGCCTTTCCGACCCGCCCATCAGGGTCTATCCGCCCGATCTGCCCGTTTGAATATGCCACGAACTTTCTGATCCTAGCCCCCATCTCCTGCTACTCTCTCTCTCTCTCGTGTTCCGTCCTCCTCACTCCCCCTTCCTTCCATCCGTCCTCTCTTCCCCTGCCTTGGAGACTGCACGAAATACAAGTTGCAGGTAAGATACCCCCCCCAAGGGGGTACCATCGAAGACGAAGAGGGCGGGTACGGAGGGTTTCGGATGCACGTGTTGAATTGCACGCGAGCAGGTAAGGGCGAACAAACATCAAATGCCTGCTGTCGTTCTCGCCCGCGACCCGACCGCGACCCACCCCGCGACCCACCCCACCCCACGACCTATCCTGCGAGCCACCCGCGACACGCCCGCGACCCATCTGCGACCCAACGGCGACCCACCCGCATTGTTTTTAGGAAAAGTCTGCGCCTGCGGCGGGTCCGTTGCGCAATGTGGTAAAAAGAGTCGGGGCCCGCGGCGGGCTTCTTCAGATCTTCGCAGACTGCCGACGACCCCGCCGCCCCCTCACTCTTACCCGCAACTTCGGGGTGCTGCGTATTCGCACACACACACACACACACGCCGCGCCTTGGCAGAACTCCGAGAGGAGCGGCATGGCGCCCAACGCGTCTAGGATCTCGCTCTTCCTCCCGCGCTCGAGCGTGATGGGCACCTCGCCACTGTCCTTGCCAGCGGGGCGCCCGGCAGGGGAGATGAGGCAAGAGAGGAAGGGGGAGGAAAGGCCTCCGTCCTCCTCCTCCCCTCAACGTCCACCAGCTACTCCAGTTCCTCGTGTTCCTCCCCCGTTGCCTCCTCCTCCTCCTAAACCTCCTCCTTGCCCCCTCCTCCTCCTCCTCCTCCTCCTCCTCCTCCTCCTCCTCCTCCTCCTCTTCCTCCTCCTCCTCATGATCACCACCGTTTTCCTCACCCCTTTGCGTGATCAACTGTCCACCATCCTCGTCGGCCTCACCGTTCTCACTGCCGTTAGCCTCCCTTCCCTCCTCGCATCCCCGTCGGGTCCAGCAGCGCCCGATCCGCCACCTTGGAGAAGGCGCCGTCCCCGTACCACCTTCTGACGTTGGCCATCCACTCCTCCTTGGCGCATGGCGGGGCGGGGCGAGGGAGACACTGGGCCAGGGGTGGCGGGCGAGGAGGCGGAGGAGGGAGGGCCAGGGGGAGCGATGAACGAGGGGCGGAAGAGGAGGGATCGAGGAGGGAGGGGCGACAGGGGATGGGGCAGAGGTAGGACGACGAGAATGAGGAGGGAGGAGGAGGAGGAGGAGGAGGAGGAGGTGGAGGAGGAGGAGGAGGAGGAGGAGGAGTAGGAGGCCTAGGAGGTTGAGTAGGAGGTTTCGGGTGAGAAGGTTCAGGAGGAGGATGATGAGGTTTAGGAGGTCTAGGATGAGGAGGTTCAGGAAGAGGTTTAGGATGAGGAGGCTTAGTCGACGAGGACAGGCAATGAGGGAGGTGGGGAAGTAGGGGGCCGAGAACAGGCCCACGGCATCCATCCCCCATCAAACCTTTTATCCCCCTTCCTCCCTTCAAGCGCGCGTTCTCTCCCCCAACCCCTCCTCCCACATCATATGAGGGGATCCCACAAGACTTGGTATCCCCGGTGCAACGGCGACGGGTCCATCGTGGACAGGTGCCCAGTCATGACTTGTCGCCGCACGGTTCTTATGGGAGGTGTACTATTTGAGCGGTGCGATAGCGATGGGCGCGCCGTTGACAGCTCAATTTCACCATCTGTCACGCACAACATCATCTTTGGCCCGACGGCGACGGAGGGGGAGCCAGACGGGCGGACATTGCGTAATTGCAAAGGTTGGCCAACGGTGCGACGGCAACCGGCGGGGCTGCGACAGATACACCCTTCGTTACCCAAACTCCCCGCACGGTGCGACGGCGACGGGGGGGAGCCTCACAAACGGGCCCAGCCCGCGGTAGGCCTGCTGCAAGTGCGGCAGCCAGCGGTGGTTCTCCTCCTCTCTCTCCTCCTCCTCCTCTCTCTCCTCCTCCTCCTCCTCCTCCTCCTCCTCCTCCTCCTCCTCCTCTCCTCCTCCTCCTCCCTCCTCCTCCTCCTCCTCCTCCTCTCCTCCTCCTCCTCCTCCTCCTCCTCCTCCTCCTCTCCTCCCTCCTCCTCCTCCTCCTCCTCCTCCTCCTCCTCCCTCCTCCTCCTCCTTTCCTCCTCCCTCCTCCTCCTCCTCTTATCCTCGTTGTCGGGTTCTTTATGTGCCTTCTGCTGAGGTTCCTGTACTGGGTCGTCTCGTTCGCGGGTATGCTCAGGGGGCGGCCTTAGCGTAGTTGCCTTGTTTTCACTACGTGAAGGCGGAAATCCTGGAAATCCTCCTCCTCCTCCTCCTCCTCCCTCCTCCTCCTCCTACTCCTCTTCCTCCTCCTCCTCCTCCTCCTCCTCCTCTCCTCCTCCTCCCTCCTCCTCCTTTCCTCCTCCATCTTCCCCTGATCCCTGCCCCCCCCCCCCCCACCTCCTCCCTCATCGCCCATCTCGCCCCCGTCCCCCTGCTTCTTCCCCCTGTTTTAACCCCCCATGCATCATCCCCCCCTCATCCTTCCCTCCCCCCTTGGGCCTCCTCCCCGAGGAATCGGCGACCACCTCCAAGCGATGACCCCCCTTGACACTGGCGCTTCTTTCCCCTTGAGCTACGCAGGCGGTCGATTGCACCGCGCATGAGTTACTGTAGCGGATTTCTGAAAAGCGTGTCGATGGGCAACGGAACGCATGTCTCTGGGCAGCGCGTTCTGGGTAGTGTGCCTCTGGGCAGCGTGAGCGACTGCACCGCGTCTCTGCAAGGCGTCTCCCTTGGCAGCGGATTGCCAAAGTGGCCGCCTCCCAGAGCACGCATAGCTCCCAGAGCATGTGTATCATGTACCTGTGAGACGGTCACACATGCAGACCTGAACAGTCCAAGCTGTCCGTCGACAGCAGCAGCTGTCCTGCCCCGAACAAGACAGGCAGGAGCTCACAGCCTGCCCATGTGATATCAGAGCCTCTGGCCCGCGCGAAGAAGCCATGGAAGGCAAGAGATCGGCGGCGCCGGGGGAGGGAAGTGAGAAGGAGAAGGCCTGCTCAGAAGGCTCGGAAGTTCCCCTGGGCCTGTGAGAAGTTGTCCCTAAGCTTTCCCCGAAGACGCGGAGCACCTCTCAGAGGGAGCGCGTTTCCTTTTTTGTTCGGCGGTTGTGGGCATACACGGGAGGGGGAGGGGGAGGGCAAATGGGGGGGTATAATGTAACGCCTCCCCCCGCCGTGCCCACGGCGGTAGTGCCCGGAGCGCACTGGGGGGGGAGGGGCGTTACGTTAAAGGGGGGGGAGGGGGGGCCCGGGGCTATAATGCCCAGTATGCCCTACGTAATAAAGAAACACGCTCAAGGCGCAAGAGCCTCTGAGAAGTCCCGCCGCCTTCTGAGCAGGCCTTCTCCTTCTCGCTTCCCCCCCTCGCCGGCCGAGGATAAGCAGCAACAGCGGCAACCGCGCCCAGAAGAGGCAGTGCCAAGCGGTGACCCTCTCTGGCTGAGGGGCAACGAAAGGGGGGGACTGGCACAGGGGGGGATGCATCGACCTGGAATCGCCGATACATCGCCGATAGATCGGCGATAGGCCCCCGATGGTGAATCCGCACCTTCCTGGGCGGGTTGGGGCTATCAGACCCCTGTCGGCGATCAATGGGCGATTGGGCGTCGATGCATCCCCCCCTACAGTGAGGGCGCGGCCGCAAGAAACCCTCGCAAGAAACCCAACCCTGAGAACCCGTCGGCGAGGTGCGCCTGAGGGGAAACTGGGAGCACCCTGAACGCAGCAGCTTCTGCAACGGCTGCGGGAAGTCACCGCGCCGCGCGCGGAGCGAAGACACCCAGGAAACCCTGACGAGAAGTCTATGGCTTGTTGATGCGCAGCCCCACTGTGTATGCCTACCCCCCCCCCGATCGTTGCCCCCGACACTGTCACTGCCTGCCCCCCCCCCCCGTCGCCCGACCCGACCGGCCACGCACCCCCCCCCTCCCCGCCACCCGGTGGGGGGGGGGGCAGGAGGCGGCGCCCCCGAGGGCGAATGGGCGAGGAGCGCGCGACGGGGGGGGGGCGGGGGAGAGGGGGGGGCCCTGGCCTGGCGCGATGACGCCTTCCTCCCGTTCGGACCTGATCTCTCTGCGCGTGTGCGCGGGCAAGTTCCAGGGCAGCTCGGCTGCGAGGGGTGTGCATGCGGTCGAGTCCTGCAGTGAGGGCGGGTGGCGAGGACGCAAGGGCCCTGGACGCCGAGGTTGGCACTATTGGGGGCGGCGGACTGCCACCACCCTGAAGGGCTGGCCAGTGAAAACCGCGAAGGACGGGCCGCAGAGGCAAGGATGCAGGGGCATCCTGAGGACATCCGTGCGTCCTTACTGTGAGTTCTGACTGTATGTATACTGGCTGCCTACCAGACCACCCCAACCCAATCCAAAAATCCAAGTTTCAGGTCGGGGGTGTACGGGCTCCATGTGAGCTTTTGGAATGCTACTTGACGCCCCCCCCTCCCACACACTGGGAAAGGGGGGCAAATTTGGGACTTTGGGTTGGGTTGGGGTGGTCTGGTGGGTGGTGTGATACACTGTGTCTGCCGTCTGTCTCTCACGCCTATGCGTGATGAGTCTGGGAGTCCCGAAACGGTGCGGTGACAGACCGTGCGGTGACCTCGAAATCCCCCAAGACCTCACCGCACGGTCTTGGGACCCCGGAGGCCCCTGTCGCCCGAGACGTCTTCGGAGAGGGCCTCGAGACCCAAAACCGTGCGGCGACCCCGAATCTCCACCGACTCACCACACGGTGCGGTCACCACCCCGTTTGGGGGCCCCCGCTGAGTGTTGGCTGCATGACGCCTGGTGAGAAAGCGCGGGCCGCCGAAGTCCGTGGCCCATCAAGGCGCCCCACCGCTCGGGCCCCCGAGATCGGGGAGGAGGAGGAGGAGGACGACGACGAGGAGGAGGGGGAGGGGGAGGAGGGAGGAGGGAGGAGGAGGGAAGAGGAAGAGGGAGGAGGAAGGAGGAGGAAGGCGGAGGAGGAGACCCAGGAAGCTCATCAGAAAGCTGGAGGCCTCCTGAGCCTCCCCGGGAGGGCCCGCACCCCCCTCTGGGCCTCCCCCTGGGCGCGCCGCCGACTACGGCCGGAGCGCGTGCCGGCAAGGACTCCTCGGGAGGAGGGGCCGAGGCGTGGGGCCGCCTGGGGTCCTCGTGCGCGGAGGCTGCCATTGAGTCTCTGCATGGGGGGCCTCGATGCTGTCTCCATCCCCACCCGGAGCCTCACCAACTGTTGTTCACAGTGATTCGAATGGAGGCGTGCGACTGCTCCTTCCGCAGGTCCACCTGCGGAAGCCTTGAGTTACGGCTTCTCCGTCCTCTCAGTGATCAGGTTCACGAAACTTTCCGCAAGCCGGTCCAGGAAGTGGACACTGCAGCAGTCCGAATTATTCGCCGGCGCCGAGCCCGACGGGGGGCCGACTGCCAGAGGCCGGCTCGGGGCGAGGGCCGCATCGGCCGCGGGGCGCTGCTCAAAGGAGCGACGAGGAAGAACGAGCCTCACGCGAGATGGCATAATTTGTGAGGCGGGGATCGATCCATATCCAGCCTGGCAACCGACATCCTGGTGCCCCAGCGGGCGGTGGATATGGATCGAATATGTCCATATCCACCGCTTGCCGAAGCTCCGAAAACTGACCCTCCAGGCGGTGGATATGGATAAATTCCCGCCTCGGATAATTAGTGACCTCACGCGGCGGCTTGCGCGGGCCGCCAGCGCGGCACGTTCCAATGGAAGCGAAGGCGCTTACGCGCGACTTTCCGCGGGCGGCTGAAGCGCGAATGTCGGCGCAGGCGACCCCTTTTCCTGCGTCACTCACTTAGCAGCAACCGACGGGGTTCCCCAAACGGTGCGGCGACACACCGCGCGGTGACCTCAAACGCCCAGAGACTTCACCGCACGGTCCGCCACCGCATGATTGTGGGGCCTCGGAAGCCCCAGCCGCTCAAGACGTTCTTGGAGAGCGACCCGAGTCACAGAACCGTGCGGCCACCCCGAATGCCCACTGAAACGCAGCACGGTGTGGTCACCACCCCTTTTGGGAGCCCCCGATGAGTATTGGCTGCATGACGCCTGGTGGGAAAGCCCGGGCCGCCGAAATCCGCGGCCCATCAAGGCGCCCCACCGCCCAGGCCCCCGAGATCGGGGAGGAGGAGGAGGAGGAGGACGACGAGGAGGAGGATGAGGAGGAGGAGGAGGAGGAGGCAGAGGAAGAAGAGGAGGAGGAGAAGGGCGGGGGAGAGGGGGGAGGAGGATGATTTGTTTTGCAGCAGTGCAGGTTGCAGCCCACATGTTACCTCGAGGCAAGGCGAGCGCCAAGAGGCAACAAAAAAGGCGACTTCGCCTCGGCGAGAGCCGCTATGGTGAGGTGGATTCGCGAGCTCCTTTCGGAGCGCCCACTATGGCCCACTCCCCGCACGGGTCGGCCCTCGGCCCGAGTTCCAGGGCTGGCAGCGTAACAAACACCGCCGAGCAAGATGCAGCAAAACCCCAGATCGAGCCTGCCGCGTGAGCCCATCTTCACCGAACCGAAGGCTAATTACCAGCACCTCGGAGGGCGACGGTCGGGGAGAACGAATGCCCCCCACGTGCCCTGACGCATACTCTTGGCACTGGAAGCGGCCCCCTGAGCAACGGTCACCGCAGGGGAATACTCACCCCCAGGACCGTGCGACAGGGGGGCGAGGGCGAGGACAACAAGGGGCAGCGAAAAGGACGGCCAGCGGCGCCTGCCCGACGGAATTCCAAGGCCCGAATTCCAGGGCTGGCTGCGTAACAAACACCTCCGAGCAGGACACGGCAAAACCCCAGATCGAACCTGCCGCGTGAGCCCATATCACGCCAAGGTCATAATCCAAATCTCAGCACGTCAAGGGGCAGCGGTCGGGGAGGGCGTTGCCTCCCCCGTGCCTTACGCGCTACTGGACACAGGAACGGCCCCATGAGCATCGGTCACCGCAGGGGAGACATCACCCCACGGCCGTGCGACAGGGGCCGAGACAGCGCGGGCAGTGAAAAGGACGGCCAGCGGCGCCAGCATGACGGAATTCCAAAAATGGAGTTTTATGCCAGGCTGCGCAACCCACACCGCCGAGCAGAACGCAGCAAAACCCCAGATCGGTCCTGCCACGCGAGTCCACTCACGCCAAGGTCATAGTACATCCAGCACGCCAGAGGGCAACGGTCAGGGAGGACAGGTCTCCCCCGTGCCCTATCGTGCTCACATGACCTGGGCGGCCCCCAGGGCAGCGGTCACCGCAGGGGAGACATCACTTCACGGCCGCGCCCCCGGGGGCGCGAGCAGCACAAGACAGTGAAAAGAACGGCCACCGAGGCCACGAGAACGATCCATCGGGGCACGAGCGGGCTAAGCTCGAGCTCGCAGCAGCGAGCAATCGCTGGGCCACGGCTGCCCTGCGCTGCTCACGTGCATCCTCCGCCTCCGAGGCCGAGACGGGGGAGGCTCGACAGAGGGATTGGAAACCTCACCCTCCACCCTACACCAGGGCCCCACGGAGACCGTGACGCCGCTCCTCTTGGGATGGGACCCTTCGGAAATCAATCGCCAGGCGTACTTGCGCCCGTGGGCCCCGAGCTTGGGAAGAGGCGAGCACTGTTGGCGCAGCCCTCGGACCTGGCCGCCACGAGTGTGTTGGTTGCACCGCCGACAAATGAAAACAAACCTATTGCCGCTGGCATCATGGAAAGAGAGGAGAAAAAAATGTGCCCCAGAGCCGCAAACGCAGGAGCACCCATGCCTCGAATCCCGACACCACCAGCGCCTCTTTTTTTACAGAGGCCCGCAACTGGCTCGACGGTCGACCGAGAACCACGAAAATAACGGGAGCACTGCCAGAACCTGCCAGGTCCACGCCCGAGCATGTCGCGGCCCCTGCCCTTCGCTCGGCTGAGCTGGTACTGGGATCCGCTTCACATTCGGACCTAGATCGAGGCGGGGCCACAGCGGCATTAGTCTGGCTGCAAGTAGCCCCACGGCTCGCGCTACAACCAATGAGCGGTCCAAATTCTCCGCCTGCTCGGTGTAAGGCTGAGGATGCAACAGGAAGGCTTGATCGGCAGAAGTACCCACAACGCGGTTACCTTCGCGCAAGCACCGCTGCCAGCTATCTTCGGCCACTTCCACATCGAGGTGAGCCTTGACCTTGTGCACCTTGCACTGCTGGGGGAACGGCCGACGAAATCGAGCAACGCCCGCGTACGCACGCTTGGGCGAACACTGCTCGGCCCACGGAAGACCGTGGAAATCAACGCAAGCCTTGCAATCGACAAATAACTCGCAAGGCCCTTGAGATCACTGCTGGGCAATCGAGTACGCGTGGAACTCGGCAGCCTGCGCAGTCTGCGGGCCGACCAAACGGGCCCTCGGACACGCACAATCTCGAGACCTGCATCACGCTGCCAGAGGGAGAAAGCCCAACCCGCCCGATCCATCTCTGGGAGAACACTCCTGCTGCACGAACCATCCATGAATATGTCACCGACAAAAACGTTGTCCAGCGTGGCGTCTTCACTCGGCTTATTTACCCACTCAACTACAATGCCGCCAGACTGAAGAAGCCGAGGGAAAGACCCCGATGGGTGCAGGAAAACTCCGAAGCAAGCGAGCGCGTCGTCGGCCTCCTCCGCCCACCTCCTCACGTTCTCCTTGACCAGCTCCTCCCTTTCAGCCTCCACGGCCGAGCACTGCCACAGGCGGTGCCTAAGTGTGTCGGGCGAGTCGAGGCACAGCGGGCACAGCACGCAGGCGATAACGTAGCCTAGGTTAGCGGCTCGCTGCCTAGTGTAAATGGCGTTACAAAACAGGGCCCGCACGCGGCCCTTCTGGAACGGAGTGAGTCGAGAACTCTGAAGCCATCGCAAGACCCCATCGACGCCAGCCCTTCCCGGCAAACCGAGTTTGCTCCCCAGGTCCCACTCAAGCCCCCTGATAACCGTTTGTTTAAAAGGAGGATCTTAAGGAGCTGAGGCGAGACTGAGGTCAGCACAATCTTATCACCTTGGTCTGTCGTGATAGTGGCAAAAGACTCCATGGATCAGGAGATTCTCTCACACGATTTTCTCAAAGCCGAAACAGGACCCGAAACGTTTTTCCAGAGGCACGACTCCTCACGAAAACCCGCCTCCCAAGCTTCTCGGAGCTCGGTCAGGGGCACGGCAAAGGAATACAAAGCATGGTGCGAAATCCGAACGTCCTTGAACTAACGGATCATCGGCGCCACCGACGCGAGCCAGCAAGGCTCTTGGTGCGCTAGAAGCAAACACGTGAGCGATCGGCCCGTGGCCGCAGGCTGGAGCACAGAAGCAGCCTGCCGCCGAAACTGCAACAACTCGAAATCCGTGACCCCATGGATGTCGGCCCAAAACAAATTACTGGCCATGGACCCCGAGGCAAAAACACGGCGGGCAACACGACTCCGGGAGGAGGAGGAGGAGGAGGAGGAGGAGGAGAAGGAGGAGGAGGAGGAGGAGGGGGTGGAAGAGAAAATTGGGGGGGGGGGGGGGGAAACGTGTACGTTTCGAGCACCTTCGGGACCCCAAGGGGGCCGAGAGCCGGGAAGCCGGACCGCATCGAGACGGGTCGGTTGGCGGCGCGCACGCTTCGGGAGGCAACCCCTGGCATGCCGTCGCGGGGACGACTCGAGGCTCTTGGGCGACCAGGCCCGACCAAAAAGCGCGCAAGATCCTTGGAGGCCGAAGTTGGGAGTTGTTGAGGAGTGTAGCATGGGCAGCGCCGCCACGCGAACTCTGCCACTGGGACCTTCGGTGGAGCTCCCAGATGGGGCCACGACACGTGTGAGGGGTGTGCCGAGACGGAAGATGCTGATGATGATGATGATGATGATGATGATGATGATAATGCTGAGGATGAGGATGAAGATGATGATGATGGTGATGATGATGATGACGATGATGGTGATGATGGTGATGATGATGGTGGTGGTGCTGATGATGATGGGAGGAGGGTGGAGGGGAAGGAAGGAGGCGGGAGGAGGAGAACGCGGGGCGCTGTTTCATCAAAACGAGGACCTAACACAACAGGATGATTGGGAAAAAACAGATGCAAACATATCACAGTCCTTTCGAAAAAATATGAATTCAGACAGGTTGTCCAGTCCATGTGTCATCTCGGGCACTCTCCGGCGAGAATACACCCCAGACATTGAAAGGTTCGCCCGTGGGGTGGAGGAAAGGTAGTAGTCGTAGTCGCAGCAGTTGATCAGAATGAGACTGATGACGACGTAGTAGAACTAGTCGTAGTCGTAGTCGTAGTCGTAGTCGTAGTCGTAGTCGTAGTCGTAGTAGTAGTAGTAGTAGTAGTAGTAGTAGTAGTAGTAGTAGTAGTAGTAGTAGTAGTAGTAGTAGTAGCTGTTGTTGGTGTTAATGTGGTCGTGGTAGTGGTAATGGCTGTAGTATTATTGCTAGTAGTAGCAGTAGTAGTGGTAGTAGTAGTGGTAGTGGTGGTCGTAGCAGTACAAGTAGTAGTAGTAGTAGTAGTAGTAGTAGTAGTAGTAGTAGTAGTAGTAGTAGTAGAAGTAGTAGTAGTAGTAGAGTAGTAGTAGTAGTAGTAGTAGTAGTAGTAGTAGTAGTAGTAGTAGTAGTAGTAGTAGTAGTAGTAGTAGTAGGTAGTAAGTAGTAAGTAGTGGTAGTAGTAGTAGTAGTAGTAATAATAGTAGTAGCAGTAGTGCGCGTAGTAGTAGTAGTAGTAGTAGTAGCAGCAGCAGCAGCAGCAGCAGTAGTAGTAGTAGTAGTAGTAGTCGTAGTAGTAGTAGTAGTAGTAGTAGTAATAGTAGTAGTAGTAGTAGTAGTAGTAGGAATAGTAGTAGCCAGTAGTATTAGTAGAAATCATAGTGGTAGTAGTACTAGTAGTACTAGGAGTAGTAGAAGTAATGCTAGTAATAATAGTAGTAGTAATAGTAGTAGTAGTAGCAGTAGTAGTAGTAGTGGTAGTAGTAGTAGTGATGATAGTAGTAGAAAATTTGGATGACACTGATGATGACAATGATGATGCTGATGATGACGATCCGGTACGAAGATTCAGGCTAAGATTCGCACATCCCCAGTGCTCATGAAGTTCGGCCCCGCTGCTCCCCACCGCCGACCAAAACTGCACTGGCCGGAGATGATCAACACTCAGGTCGTAAGGGTGGGGGATGCTTTATTATCTGGGGCATGCAGTTATCGGCGATCACTGGGCGCGTAGGAGTCGACGCTCCCCCCGAACCTATGCCCCACGAACGTTGCCCCAGGCGGATACCCGTGCGAGGCCCTTGAGATGCGCAGTCCCGTGGGCGCGCTCCGCGCGGGGCACCCGCGCAGAGCCGCCCTGGATCCACGGGGTGGCTCCCGCCGCCCGCGCGTCCTCTGCCGCTTCCTCCCCCGCGGCCCCCCCCCGCAAACGGGCCAGGCTTTAGGATGCCTCTGCGGTGGGCCGCCCCGAGCGCACACGTGTTGTGCAGGGCGTCGCGCTGGGAGGCAACGCCTGGGAGGTCTTCGTCAGGACGGGTAGAAGGGGGCTAGTGAGCTCGAACGAGGAGCCACTAAGCCGGACCGGGCCGGACGAAGCCGCCTCCAGCGGGATCAAGCCGGACTAAGCGGGATCAGGCCAGATTTCGCGGGAATGAGCCGGATTGAACGGGATTCGGCCGGATCGAGCGGGACCAGGCCCGGTTAGGCGAGATTAAGCCAGACGAAGCGGGATCCAGACTGGGCAGGTTTTCTCAAACCTCCCAGGAGTTGGACCCGAAGTAGCGTGGCGGCTCCAGCAGAAAAAAGCTTCGGAGCCGAGCGCGGCGTGGGCGTGGCGGGACCGAGGTCCCGAGGGCCGCCTCTCGGCGCGTGCGCGGTCCCTGCGGCAACTCATGGAATCCCCGCGTGTTGTCTTGCTGGCTCTTGCGAATCGACGCTAAACGATGCTAACCGACGCTCAAAGACGCTAAACCGGGCCTCCGAATTGGGCCGCCCGGAGCGAACACGTGTTTAGACGAGCGCGTTCCACTACTCGCAAAGTGACTACTCGCAAATGGCCTGGATACGCCGCGGGGGATCTACGGTAAATTAAATCAAGGCCGCCACATATTTTTCGAACGTTTGCGAGTAGGCACTTTGCGAGTAGTGGAACGCGCTCGGTGACTCAAAGACGCTAAACCGGGCCCCTGAGTTGGTCCGCCCGGAGCGAGCACGTGTTGTGCAGGGCCCCACGTGCCCGCGGCCCGCAGGGAAGCCGAGGCCGTGAGAGCGGCGCGTGCGCGGCACGGCCGAGGGCCGCCTCTCGGCGCGGGCGCGGCCTCTGCGGCAGATCGCGGGAGCCTCCCAGTCCATCGTGCTGGCTTTTGCGAGGCGGCGCTGCCACTGGTTGCGAAACAAACGCCCATGCCGGCCTAGGGAACAAGACATCGAGACGCGCCCCCCCGCGCCCCCGCATGTCAAGGTTGATGGGAAAGCGATGGGCCCGTCCCAAAAATGGGTGTTTGTTCCGCGACGCTTCGCGCTCCCGTCTGGCGCGGCCTTCCGCCAACTTTGAGATGCGGGGTGTCGGGGGGGCCATGTCGGTACGTTTTCTGGTTGGCGTTTATTTCGCAAACGGCGGAAACTAAAGCTGGTCGACGCTTGTGGACACCCATCGACTCTGATCGACGTTGAATCAACGCTGAACTGGCGCTTTCTCATGGATTACCAGACGCCAGCGCGCGCCAATGCACGCTGAAGACGGAACTCCGAGGACATACAAAGCTCCCGAGATTTGCTACCGAACGCGGTGGCGAGTACATGCGCGAACACCGCAAGCTAAAGACCAAACACCCGAGCTGGCCCTTCACACAATATGCACAAAATGAGGCGTACCGCCAGATCACCTCGTAGCCACCACGATGCTACCCTTATTGCCTTTCGTAATGCGAAGATCGTCGTCCAGGTATAGCACATCTGAGTGGCCGTGGGGCGCCTTTGTCATCTCGTACGTCATCGAACCATCATCACTCACACTGTCTGGCTTCCGCAGACCCATAAGCGCTCCCATAAGCCAATCACCAACTTTGCTGAAAATGGTCGCCTTGCTCTTCTGCTGGCTCAAAGAATTCGTGAAGACCTTCTGCCACTCGGGGAGCAGCGTCGGGTCCATCTGCGGAGAGGGCTTCAATACGCCGCCCGTAAACCACACCTCGAGACGATCGTCCCTCTTCGCGTCGGGCTTCACGAAGCTGACGGTCTGCAGCTTCGCCTTGAACTTCGGATACTTCTCGTCCACACACACGAGGTCCAGCACGGCGTCCCAAGTCCGGGTGCCCTCCTCCGCATCCTCGACCGGCCGCACCTCTTGAACTGTACGCTCGATCCTCCACAGCATGTCCGCTGGCGCGTAGATGTTGAAAGTCAGCCTGCCCAGGGTGTACACCTCCTCGAGAGGAGCAAAGTCTGCAGACACACAGAGACTGCCGGAGGCCCGCGCGCAGTTCTTGGATCGGCACTGGCTCCCCCTCCCTGGCGTGCGAGGCGCGCCGGGGGCGGTGCTGGAGGCGCCGCCAGGGCGCCCTGCGCCGCTCCCAGGAGCCCTCGCCTCGGGGACCTCTGGGGTGAACATCGGCGTCCCTTGAGAGCACCCATGTTTTCTAGGCTCTGAGGCACCAGCATGACCGCACCGGCTGGTCTCGAGAGCCACCGCCGCTGCACGTTCAGGGAACGTGCAGCGGCGATGGTTCTCGAGCCCTCTTCGCGCGCTCGGAGGGCTCGGCGCATGGGAACGCCGTTCCCATGCGCTGAGCCCCCCGAGCGCGCGACGACGGCTCGGTTTCCAGCCAACGAGTCGGATTCAATTCATAGCGATTGTTCGCCGATGATGCCGATCGCAGCGGCAACGCCTGAAAGCGAAGCGACGGGCCACGACTCTAGCGCAGCTGCCGAAAGTAGCACGGGCTCGCAGCAAACGGGGCCTTTCGGGGAACGGCACAGGCGGGAGGCCAGAACTTCGCGTCATGAACCCAGAGGTCAAAGAGAAACACGTCCGCGCGCAGACTTCGGCAAACAAAACGCGGGGCTCGAGGATAAGGACAATCTGAAGCGCGTCTTGAAGCGAGTGCGCGGCGTTGCCGCATCGCTGGACAGGGGGGGGGGGGCAGCGGGGATTTCGAGAGGGGACGGGGGGCCGTAGACGGCCCTTCGGCCCGCGCGCCACCTGCCCCTCCCGCCGGCACCCCTCCCTCCACATCTGCGCTCTCGCGCCCAGTGCTGGCATGCCTCTCGCCCTGCTCTGCCCCGCCCGCGAAGCGTTCCCGCCCCCCCGTGCCTTCGGGTCGCCACCAGGCGGCTTGCGGCGCCCCTGCGGCGTGCCCCGAAAGTGCGCCTTCAACGCGGCCCTGAAAAATTGCAATAGGAATCCGATTGTAAATTGAAGGGCCGCGTTCAAGGGGCACCGTGCGTGGACGCATGCAGGGGCGCATTAAGGTGCGCATTGGGGGGCAGATTAAGGGGCGCATTAAGGGGCTAGTGACGCATTAAGGGACGCATTAAGGAACGAATGAAGGGGCAAATTAAGAGACGCATCAAGTGGCGAAAAATAAGGGACGCATTAAAGGACGCACTAAGGGACTAATTGAGGGGCAAATTCAGGTACGCATCAAGGGACGCATTAAGGGGCACATTTAGGCGCGCCGAAACCTCCCTCGAGACTCGACTCCCCAATTCGGCCATGCTTCTCCCGCGTCGCAATTTCCTTTACTGCCACTTTTTCTGCCCCGTCCACCCTTGCCTCTGCCCCCGCCCCGCTCGCGGGCGACAAAGGCCGAAATGTCGCATGGAACCACGAAGTGCGCACATTTTCTGGCGCGCGCGCAGATCTCGACGCGCTATCGCCGATGATTCGGCGACCAAGTTTGAAACCGCGCGCGGGGCGCGCGATAATGGCAATGAATTGCGAGAGAGGTTCTTCACTGCCGCTTGGTAGTTGCGCGCGGATGGCTCGTTGGAAAAAAAACAACGCAGGGAAGTGGATCATGGCAATGACGAATAGCGGCCAACAAGACCAAACGGAACAACTTCTCTTCGCGATGATCAGGCGCGTCAAAAGACAAACAAACGCACAAACAAAGCTATCGCAAACGGCGCGCGCGCAACAATCGGGCCTCCCAACCAATCAACAAACTGAAAAGGTAAGGGACCATGGTAATTAAGGGACCCCAAATATCCCCGACCCGACAAGCCCGCGCGGAGCTCCGAAAGCCTTGTTTATGCATCTTATCTCCTCCGTCGGGGATCTGCTGACCCGGGTCAATCCAGAACCAGGTCAATCGAGCCTTGCAGGATCTGGCAGGATCTTGCACCCGACACCCTGGTCAAGGCAGCCCTGGCTCTGCAGGATCCTGCAAGATCTGGCGCCCTGGCTGACACCCGTATGCACTCACCCCCGTCTTCAGAGCCCCGATTCCGATCCTCGTCGATCTCGCCAGGGAAGGACGACTTGCTCACCTGCTCCCAGGTCCCGTCCAAGAACGCTCCGGACCTCGCCGCGGCCTCAGTGGGGCTAACCTTCGCCAGCGCCTCCACCGCGGCAACCACCTCGGGGGCTTTCGTGTCGCGGCCACTGGACTTCAGCGCACCGAAGAGCGCCTCCTTCAGCGCCCCCGCCTGCGAATGGCAAATCATGTCACGCAGCCTCGTCGCCATCGAGGGGATGCAGTGGCCGAAACTGCGCCCGAGAATGTGCCCGAGCGTGGCCGAATCCGGCGCCCGAATTTTCTAAACGCGCACGAGTGTGACTGAATTCTGTCGGCTAGAAGCAACTGCGATCTTCCATTCTGGTCTCAGTGTCGGTCTCGCTGTGTTCAATCACAGATTCGGGCAAATCTTAGGTCATGCTTTTGTTCCCGTCACATCCCGAATCGGCTGAATCGGCTGACAGGGGCTGGGTGCAGTGGCCAATAGAGTACGCCTGACACACAAGCGACGAAAAGAAAACGGATCTTACGCACTGTGGCATAGCGACCTTACGAGGCGGCTGAATTACGCGGGCCGCCAGCGTGGCGCATTGGAAACGAGAGCGCTTACGCGCGACCCTACGCTTGGATCAACTTCGATTATGTTAAGACTCTGGGAGGCCAAATTAGGCATGCGTGCGTAATGTGGGCGTGTGAGGTCGTCGGGTGTCCATAAAAAGTGCACGTTGGCATGCTTTTCAGAATGCCTAAACGAGTTTAGAATGGTTAGTTTGCATATGGTCGTCTTGGGCACGATCGTGTTGGGAATGCCTACGCAAGTTTACATTGATGGTATCTTTTACAAGAATCCAAGGAAGCCCGACCTCACGCGGGCAGGTTACTCGCCAACGTCGGCGAAGACGACCCCATGTTTCGACGTCGCTCACGTCCGTGGCAGGCAGGGGCGGTCCTGCTGGCAGCCGGGCAGGAAAGAAAGACGAGGCTTCCCACTCATGGGGGCCCCGCGACGCCTCGCGGAAGTTCGGACGAGGCTAAGAAGAGGATGAATCCGTTCCAGAGCGTTCCAAACGCTATCAGAGCGGCGCCCAAAACCTCCTCCAGAGTCGCCGGCTCTCAGAGATTCTCGATATACCCTACCCAAATTTAGCCTCGCCCTGGCGTTGACAGGTCCCAGGAACCCCACAAAGACCGGTCCAAAAAACAGTGCAGCTGCCCCGACCTCCGACTTTGAAGCCCTTCCGCGTGGCGCCGCCCCCCGAGGCCAGCTCTTCTTTCGGATCGGGGATCTGCTGACCCGGGTCAATGCAAACCCGGGTCAGTCAGGCTTCGCAGGATCCTGCAAGATCCTGCACCAAAGCCCGGGTCAATGCGACCCTTGCTTTGCAGGATCCTGCAAGATCTGGCGCTCTGGTGAGCGTCTTTTTATTCGGCGTTTCGACATTTGGCGGCAAGGGGGGGGGGGGAGGAGGGGGTCTGGCTACAGACCTCTGCACACGGCGACTGTTTGCAAGAATGCGGCCCCTGGGGGAAACTCCACCCGCTCGACAAAGGCGCCCAAAAAAACAGCCAAGATCTATTCCAAAAGGGGGGGGGGAGGGGG